GTTCTTATTTAACAAATCGTACCCAAAAGGTCCAGTACAACAGCATTTACTCAAAAGCTGTTTCCGTATATTCGGGTGTACCACAAGGCAGTCACCTCGGTCCTTTACTATTTGGCTTATTTATCAACGATCTTCCTCAAGTAATTGAGTTCTCCAAAGTACTTATGTTTGCGGATGATGTCAAGTTGTGTATGCATCTGACCTCACCTAGTTCCTACATGCAGCTCCAGCTCGACTTAAATAACCTTCAATCCTGGTGCCTAGTCAACAAGCTACTGCTCAATCCTGATAAATGTAAATCCATGTCATTTTATCGATCCAATCCATATCTTTGTACATACTCAATAGATCACTCTGCACTTGAACGCATTGATACTGTTCTTGATCTTGGTGTCCTATTTGACCACAAGATTTGTTTTAATCGCCACGTCAGTACCATCTCCAATAAAGCTAAATGCTTATGAGCATTCATAAAACGCTGGTCTAAGGAATTTGATGACCCTTTCACCACTAAGCTCCTTATGTCTCTCTAATTCGTCCTACACTTGAGTACTGCTCCAGTGTTTGGTCTCCACAATATGAGCACTATCAAAATATGATAGAATCCGTCCAAAAGCAATTTCTCCTTTTTGCACTACGAGGCTTAAACTGGGAGGAGGGACGCCGTTTGCCATCTTATAGAGACAGGTTGCGCCTCTTGGATCTACCTACCTTAAAGGATCGTCGGACCTGTTATGGTGTGATATTACTTCACAAACTCATCACTGGCGCCGTCGACTCAGTTGATCTGTTAGCCACCCTCAATTGGAACGTTCCTTGCAGAGCTACTCACAGATTCCGTCCATTAGCACTTCCTGTGTGCAGGTCAAACTACTCCCGTTTCGACCCCTTCCGAATCCTATGTGATAACTATAATGAACTTTATCACCTCATATCCTATGAGTGCTCTGTCAAGGCTAATTCGCTAAAAGTCATTGCGTTCCTTTCTACATCGACTTAATTAGTTCTCCTACGGTACAATTTAAATTATTGTTTTTTTTACAGTTATGATGTTTTTATTTTTATGCTATGTATATAATTTTAAGTCTTTTGAGCAGTACATTGCTTTAAATAAACAAATAAATAAATAAATTATAATTGGTGTTACTAATCCCAAAGGGTCGAACAGCGAGGACGCTATTGAATAGAATAGAATAGTACGCTTGGTAACAAGGTCCGAGGTGGTTCTAGGCGAAAACGTGAATATGAATGTGTCCAAATCTTGATCCCATTTTAGACCAAGTGTGCTGGTGACCTTGTCCTCATCTAAGTTTAACAGTTTGATGGTATCGCCTTTCACAAACTTACTGTGATCTGAATGCCATTTAGCGAGCTCAAATTGGCCGTCTTTCAGGATAGCTGTGACTTACTCCTTAATTTGATGAAGTTCCATTTCTGTGTCTGCTCCTCCAAGGAAGTCATCAACGTAGAACGATGATTTAATGGCTCTAGCTCCGAGCTTATAGTTGTCGATGTGTTGATCTGCAAGGTAAGCCATGCTGCGTATGGCTAAATACGGTGCGGCCGCAGTGCCATAAGTGACCGTATTCAGTTCAAAGGTGCGCAGTGGTTTTGATTGCGAATTTCTCCAAATGATGTACTGGTATCTCCGGTCCTCTGCTGATACCTGCATCTGACGAAACATTTTGACCACATCAGCAGTGATTGCGTACTGATATATACGAAAACGAAGGAGCGATGTGTAGAGATCTGGCTGAATAGTCGGTCCCACCATTAGTAGATCGTTGAGGGACTTCTGAGATGTTGTCTGACAAGAGGCGTCGAAGACTACTCTCAGCTTAGTCGATGTGCTGCTGGGTTTGAGCACGCAGTGGTGCGGAATGTAGAAATGTGAAGTATTGAGGTTTGGGCGGCCTACCAAGCTTATGTGGCCCAAGGCTTCGAACTCCTGCATGAACTCAATGTACTTGGCCTTGACCTCAGGCTTACGGTTAAGGCTTCGTTCGAGAGCGAGAAATCTTCTTTTAGCGGTGTCGTAGGAGGAGCCGAGCAGACTGGGTTCGTCCTTAAATGGTAGTCGTACCATTATCCGACCGTCTCCGGTGCGTCGGACCGTTTTGTTGTAAAATTCTTCACATTTCCGTTGTTCTGGTGTCAGCGTATTTAACGAATTCTTCACCTCATCAATGCGCCATAAGCGCTCCAAGTTTTTGTAAATGGCGTCGTCCACATCTACGATTAAAGAATATTGATGGAGTGACCTGGGATGCATCTGGCATCGACCAGACACTATCTATCCGAGTATGTTTTGGCCAAGCTTGATTTGACCGATTGCTAGGATGTCGAAGAAGGATTCCGTTCCTAGTAGCAAATCGATTCGCCGAGATAGGTAGAACTTTTCATCGGCCAGCAATGGGTTAGAGGGAAGGTCCCACGATGAAATGTCTATCTCCGCTTCTGGGTGATAGGCAATGTGTGATGTAACGCAAAAATCAAGGAGCAACTCAAAATCAGTTTGTCGAGATTTAACTGTGGTAGCTGTATGATGCTTAATTTGCGTTTGTCCCCAATGCTGCGAATCTCCATATTGCGTTTGTTCCGAGGCAATCGCAGCTTCTGGGCGAACTCTTCCGAAATGAAGTTCACCTGGGAACAGGAATCCAGTAGGGCTCGTCCTACCTTGTAGCATCCAGATGCGTCCTTTACCAATACTAATGCCGTGGCGAGTATGACACAATCAGAACGAGTATCAGTGTGGGTATGAGTGACTGCGTCCGAAACTTGCGATGTGTCTGTTCTGGGCTGCAGCACATTTGGTGCAACGGATTCAGGAACGTGTCGATGAAGCAATGAATGATGCGCTGATGAACATATGCGGCATCTCTGAATAGATGGGCATTTGGCTACATGATGGCCCTTATTGAGGCAATTGATGCAAAGCCGAAGGCGCTTCACTTTATCTAAGCGACTGTCCGGCGTAAGCTTGATTAGATCGGGACATCTAAATATCTTGTGGTCTGTTCTTGAACACATGTTGCAAGTTTGGGTTGTACAGTTGAAAGACAAACTTGATGGGTTCCTCTGCGTGCGAAGCTTGTGGCCACCTGGCTTGCTCACGAAGGCGTCGGCTGATGGCTTTCTATCCGATTCTAAATATTGACAGTGCCGTTCCACGATTTGAACGCATCTGTCCCACGAAGGTAATACATAGTAATCGAGCGATTCGTTCCACTTCCTCTTGGTCTCCTGATCGACCTTGCCCATGACTATGGAAATGAGCATGGCCTGCGAGATCTGCGATTCAGTGCCCAGAGATCGCAAAGAGTTGTATAATGCGGAGGCATTATCTATAAGGCTGCGCAGCTGCTGCCCGTTGGACTTGGCGGCAGGTTGCAATGCGAACAATGACGATATGTTGTCGAGAAAAAAAAGCGTAGGGTTATCATAGCGGTTTCTCAGGCGCTCAAGCGCCTTCGTGTAGTTGTCGGGAGTAACCTGGAAAGCTCGAACTGTTTCCAGAGCTGGCCCTCTTAGGCAGTTCAACAGCTGGTTGAACTTCTCAATTTTAGACAGGCTTAACTGGTTCGCTACGACTTGGTTGAATGATGTGATAAAGTTCTGATACTCGGAATATTTACCGTCGAATATTGGCAGTGACATACGTGGCAGTTCGACTGCTGACGTATGACCGACAATAACCGTGGTTTCATGAATCGCGGTGCTGTTTGCACCTGGTCCGAGCTGCTTCTGAATAGAGACTTTGGTGTGGATGAACAGCTCTTCTATTTCACGACGAGAATCACGTTGCGATTCTGCCGGGTCCATCATCTCTATATTTTCTTGTATCGACAATGCGACTTTGATGTAGGAATCCAGAATAGTCATACGGCACGTCAGTTCCAACGGCGAAAGGTTGAAACTAGGGTTCACTGACTGGCTAATTCTGGAAAGATTCCTGTGAGCGTCCACACGCTGCGCTTCAAGTTGTTCGATGGTAGGCATGTTGTAAGTTCCACGTTCCAGTTATGTGATGAGTTGGTCTGGCAACGCCGTGGACAGAATGCACACACACGTATGAGAGTGCGAAAGAGATGACGATATGTAGTGGAAAGTTTTGGCTCGCCAAGCTTGTTATGCAATATGCTGGCGGATGCGAACACGCGATGTGAAGATCGAGGTTATGTCCGAGATTGGTGGCTGCTGTGTCCGCCGAGTACGATGTGAAGATGGGGGACCGAATGTCGACCCCAACTTTGGACTGATAGATCTGGAGGACTGCTGTCGACTCCAACGACAAAGTGTTGATAGACTTGGAGGACGGGGTGTCGACTCCAACGACGAGGTGATGATAGACTTGGCGGACAGGGTGTCGACTCCAACGACGAGAGGGTGATAGACTTGGAGGACGAGGTGTCGACTCCAACGACAAAGTGTTGAAGAGTGTGGCGCTGAGCAGCGGTGGGGCAGCGAAGCACGAAATACAGTAGCAGAGAACTTAACCTCAACGCATACAAAAACCACTCAAAACTAGCAAAGTCCTGTCACGGTCGCCAATATGTTGAAACAAGGGCTTTTTCTTGAATATAATTTAAAGTCGGACGGTGCTAGTTTATGAATATCTTTAATGAGTTCAGGTAAATTCAATGCACTTGACTTCCTCGTGCGAAGGTTACAATTATAGTACAAAAAGTTCCTATTTTCTTTCCATTTCTATCTTCTCTCTTTCTTGCGGTCGAGTTGGCAGCATCACATTTCTTATCGATTTATGATAACTATCAAGAATCGGCGCAAGATTTAAAATACAAAGTTGTTAGCGAACGCTAACTTCAGAATCTTATTAGTAATATCATGTTCTCATTAAATAATTCTGCATTGTAAATTCCACGTTTCATTAGTAAAATCATGTTCACATTAACTAATTCTGCATTGTAAATACCACATTTATTAGTAATAGAATGTTCACACTAACGAAATAATGTAAAACTGCGTATTGAGCCAAAAGGCCGACGTTTTTGTAAGATCGCTATACGGTAATACCAACCGGTGGCTGCGGCCATTGCAAATAAAACCAGTGAATAGAGAAGTCTTGTGCGTCGTTTTTCTTAACTTTCGCCCAAACCACCCAGCAACACAGATTCGGACGGAATCTGCACATGGTCCTTCGACGAGAAAAAGCAACCAGCCGGTGGAGCTTTCATCACCCAAACTGGAAAAATGTAAAAATCGCAATTTTACCAGACACTCATGTCACCCATTCATACAAAAATTAACCTATAAAACACACATACGAAATTTTGCAACACGTGCAAGAAGTTTTCAGCCATAAAAACACACACACATACATCCATACTAGACATCTGCATGACTGGAATCAAACAGGCTTTGAAATGATTCCATTCGAATAGAATAGAGTTGAGTAAATGCTCAGCACACTATGACTAGAATGGATTGCATCTTGGTCCGTATAGAGTATGACAGAAAAGGCCTAGAGTTAAACGAGTGATAACGAAAAACAGAATGTCATATTTGAATAGGCTGAAATCATTCGAGTTATTCGAATCCATTCGATTTTCTTATATGACGTCATAAGGGCAAAATAGAAAATTAAATTTGTTTTGATATACATATATGTATGTCTATAAATAAGTATTTTTGTGATTTCTTATTTTCGAAATTACCAAGCTCCCCTTAGTTTAAACTCAAAACACATGCAAAAATCCACGAGAATTAAAAAAAATATGGAAAAACAATTAGTTTTATGAACATATCCCAAAACCAAAAAAATTTGCCTCTATCGCCACAGATAAAGAAAGGAATGGTCTTCCTTGGACCGCGACTTCTTAGTATTGTCATCCTGGAGTTTGTTAGATAAATTCTTAAGAAGTTGCGGTCCAAGGAAGACCATTCCATTCTGCCTCTTCACTACACTATTTTGTACTTCTCCTCCTTGGTCCGCGAATTCTTAGGATTTGCGGTAGAAGGAAGACCATTCCTTTCTGCCTCTTCACTACACTATTTTATATTTCTCCTCCTTGGTCCGCGAATTCTTAGGATTTAAATATGAAAATGGCATGGTTGGATTCAGTGGCGAGCTAAAACTAAAGGTAGATTTGTAATTTAAAAAAAGACAAAAAGCCAAATATTTATGTAAGTATTTCAAAACAAATTTAATTTTCCATTTTGCCCTTATGACGTCATGTAAGAACTCGAATGGATTCGAATAAATTCGTCTGAGTTGTTCGTGTACTCATTTACTCGATTCGTTTTCCATCACCATTTCTGGTTCGACTGAGTTTTACGTCAGTACACTTATTTATTCAAGCCAGTTTTCCTACACATTCCAACTCATTCAACTCATTTTGAACATTGTCAATTCGAATATGTATTTTTTGTTATTCATGCAGATGTCTAATCCATACATAAAATGTAACCTACTCACGAAAATAAATTAAACACGTGAATTTAAGTGAAATTAAAACTAAAATTCTAGCCGTACATATTACGCACACATCCATACATTATAAATTTTCGCAACACGTGCAGAAAAGTTTCAGCCGTGAGCACACACACATCCAGCCGTGAACACACACATACATCCATACATAAAAAATTAACGTACTCGCGAAATAAATTAAACACGTGAATTTAAGTGAAATTAAAACTAAAATTCTAGCCGTACATATTACGCACACATCCATACATTCTTAATTTTCGCAACACGTGCAGGACAAGTTTTCAGCCGTAAAAAACACATACATCCATACACAAAAAATTAACCTACTTGCACAAACAAATTAAATATTGGTAACACGTGAATTTAAGTGGAATTAAACCTAAATTCTAGCCGTACATACTACGCACACATACATACATTATAATTTTTCGCAACACGTGCCTGAAAAAGTTTTCAGCCGTCAACACACACACATCCAAATAAAATTTATAAACATTTACAACACGAAGAAATTTCAAGCAACTTTAACACTTATCCCACATATATTTACACAACAATTTAAAATAACCACATTTACTTTAAACCAAATAAAATTTATAAACATTTACAACACGTTTAAGAACTTCTCATACATTTTAATATACGAAAATTATCCCAGTCTACAAATACTCACATATTCTTCCTAAATCACGAAGTAACACCACAACAGGGTTAATTCACCTCTTCCAACTGAATTCCGACAGAATATTCATATATTTCCATCCGGAAATAGACAGGCTCGATTGCCATTTTTTTTTTTTAATTCGTCCCACGAATACCTAAGTCTCCGAATCAGTGACCTCGGAACGCCTAGCTCGATTAGACGCAATGTTCAACGAGGTCGACCGAGATTTTCGAAATGCTATGACCTCAGGAGAAGAAAACTGTGATCAATCCGACGCATTCGATACATTTAATAAATGCGAAGATGAAATGGTTCGAGTCAAAGCACATCTTAAAGATTTACTCGCAGTAAACAGGTCCTTTTTAGACTCATCGGGTCTGACAAACTCAACCAACCTTTTTGACGACTCAAGTCACATAATGGCAAGGAAATTCAAAAAATCCAAACCACTATCACAAGTTGTCTCGCAGTACTGAAAGCTCAAGGTGTACCGAACGATAATTGGGATCCATTTATAGTCTTTCATTGCTCGTCCAGGTTACCACAGCTGACTCTGTCGTTGTGGGAACAATCTCTTGAAAAAAGAAAAGAGTTACCAACCTGGCAGCAACTGACAACTTTCCTCACATCCCGTGTAGAAGTATTAGAACGACTAGCAGCGATCACCCCAGTAAAACCCTTTGTCCCTAACAACACAAAATTCCCGTAGAAGCAGCCAACACTGTCTCATTCAACGTTATCCGACCAGAACTGCAGGCATTGTCAAGGTTCCCATCACATACGACAGTGCATGCAATTTCAAAAACTTAAACCTCAAGATCGTTTCCAATTTGTCAAAGCAGCAAAAGTTTGCATAAATTGCTTGGCATACAATCACACGACGAAAGACTGCAAAAGTAAAAAGACATGCAATGAGCACGATTCTCAAGAAATAACAGCAAGCCACGCATCTCAAAACCAGCAGGTAATTCTTCCCACTGCAATGTTGTACGTAAACTATAAAGGCGACAATTTTCGAATGCGTGCCTTAATAGATCAAGGTTCGCAACGATCCTTTATCACTGAAAAGGCTAAAAATCGCCTAAGCTTACCCTTCCGAAAAATCCATACCAACATATCTGGCATAGGAGGCCAATATGTAAGCTCATCCTCCAAAATATGCAGCTTCAAACTCACTAATGCCTCTTGTCAACACTCAATCCAGACGGAAGCAATAGTTCTTAAAAAGTTGACAATTATCCTACCTTCAATATCAGACCAGAAGCCAAGCGACTCGATTTTAAATCAACTCGAGCTAGCCCATCCCAATTTTTCAACAGCCGCAGATATAGACCTTGTATTAGGCAGCGACGTCACCCCTCAGATCTTTTTAGAAGGCATTCAAACTGCGCTTAATGGCCACCTTCTCGCTCAGTTTACCATCTTTGGATGGATAATCAGTGGTCCGTTATCCAACAGCCATCATACGTGCTCATTCTCAACAATAGTGGAAGACTCAGGACCAGAAATCGGCACAATGCTGCAGAAACTGTGGGAAGTTGAGGAAATATATGTACCTAAGTTAGTTTCTGAAGCTGATGAATTCTGCGAACAATACTTCGCAGACACAACGCAAAGGCTTTCAGATGGACGATATATGGTTCGACTCCCGTTCAAATCCGAATTTCCCGAAAGCGAGACACTGGGTCCGTCCAGAACCACTGCCATGGGTCAATATGTTCGCTTGCACAAATCCTTGAGTAAAGACAGCGACCTACGAAAACAATACGACAATGTTCTGCAAGAATACGTCGACCTGGGCCACATGACAGAGGCCGAACCTTTCGAAGTCATCATTAAAAACAAATATTTCTCCTTCTATCTGCCTCATCACGCGGTCGTTCGACCTGAAAGCAAAACGACCAAACTTCGTGTAGTCTTTAAAGCGTCTCGTCGCACGACCACACAATTCTCTCTAAACGATGTACTTCACAAAGGGCCTTCACTCCAGAGCGATTTGTTGGGAATCCTTCTCAACTGGAGACTGTACAAATACGTCTTCAATGGTGATATTGAGAAAATGTATCGCCAAATCCTAGTCCATCCGGACGATCGCCAGTACCAACGACTTCTTTTCCGACCACAATCAAGTTCAATTATAAAAGACTTTGAGCTAAAGACAGTCACCTTCGGTGTTAACTGCGCACCAGGACTGTAAAGAAAGCCATCCCATGGCCAGTAAAATAATTCTTCAGGAAACCTATGTCGATGACATTTTAGCCGGAGATCACTCTATAGAAAGAGCAGAGGTCGCTCAATCCCAACCCCGTGATGCTCTCAAATCAGCAGGATTTCTGCTAAAAAAGAATACGGCCAATCACAAACAACTTTTACAAAACATTCCTAGAGCAGACTTGCTAGACGGAGATTTTCTGAAAGTTGCAGAGGCAAGCACAACTAATACGCTGGGAATTAAATGGAACGCAAGCAAAGATGTTTTCCAATACAACATCCGCGCACCCACTCCATGTAAGACCATCACTAAGAGACAAATCTTATCCCACGCAGCTACTTTGTTCGACCCGGCAGGATGGCTCACGCCTATTGTAATACAGGCAAAAATGCTTCTCCAATCCCTTTGGAAAGAAGGGCAAGATTGGGACGAATGCGTTAGTCCAAACACACTGACCACATGGAACAAATTCATAGCCGCATTACCTGAACTAAAGCTTCTCACAATACCCAGGTGGGTAGGGTACAGTCCAACCCAAGAGGTCCAAATACACGGCTTTTCGGACGCGTCTGAAAAGGCATATTGTGCGGCGATATATGTCCGTACCGTTACGTCAAATTCCATACAATCTCATCTGCTAGTCGCAAAAACCAAAGTAGCACCATTAAAAACAATCAGCCTCCCTAGGTTAGAACTCTGCGGCGCCCATCTTCTTGCTAGGCTTACAGCGCATGTGTTAAAGACAACTCAGCTACCAAGCGAAAACATATATCTTTGGTCCGACTCTACTATCGTGCTAGCTTGGTTTGAAAAGCCATCCACGGCTTGGAAAACCTTTGTAGCTAACCGCACAGCTATCATCAAATCTAAAGCTCCCAATGCTCAATGGAACCACGTCCAATTCAAAGATAACCTTGCGGATCTGGGCACACGTGGATGTATTCCAAAAGAGTTAAAAGCTACTCACTCTTTCGGAAGATAAATGGCCAAAAGGTGACATGCCCTCAAAGACTCCTCCAGAGGAAAAACATGTCAACCTTTTCTTCACTCAATCCAATGACTATGACATTTGTGAACAATATACGTCATACTCAAGGGCCTTAAGAGCAACAGCTCGCGTACTAAGTTGGCACCCAGCACACTCAAACTGCGATAGTACAATGGCCTCCCGAGTAAAGCTTGCCAAAGTTAGATTAATAATAGCTGCCCAACGGTTCTTTTATCCCAAAGAGTACTCCCAGTTACTCAACAAAATACCGTTGTCGACAAAAAGCAGCCTGTGCCCACTAAATCCCTTTTTAGACTCTGAAGGACAGGTTCGCGCTAACGGTCGATTGGCAAATGCTAACATCCCCTACAAAGAACGGTATCCCATACTGTTACCAACTAAATCTCGACTTAATTCGCTTTTTATAGAATTCATACACCGTACACTTCTTCACGCCGGGAATCAATTAATGATGCGAGCAATCAGACAAGAGTTCTTCATTCCAAAACTAGCCATGCTCGTCAAAAAGTGCATCCACCAATGCGTCGTATGTACACGCTTTAGGAAGAATGCACAACAGCAAATAATGGCGGCTCTTCCACCCGAAAGAACGCAGCTCACCCGTGCGTTTGCAATCACAGGCGTAGACTTTGCGGGTCCCTTTAACCTAAAGGCCTCTCTACTAAGGACTAATCGACTAGTCAAAGGGTACGTCTGCATATTCGTATGCTTCTCGACCAAAGCAGTCCACTTAGAATCGGTCTCTGAACTCAGCTCCAAGGCGTTTCTGCAAACCTTTGAGCGCTTTGTCAGCCGTCGAGGAACACCGAAGAAAGTGTTTTCCGATAACGGAAAAAACTTCGTAGGCGCTAGTAAAGAACTTGCAAAGAACTTCCACGCTTTTATGCAATCCGCAAGTGCACATATCGCCACGCAATACAGTAGCCATGAAATAGAATGGCATTTTATACCCCCTCGTGCCCCACATATGGGTGGCCTATGGGAAGCTGCTGTAAAAAGTTTTAAAAAACACTTTACTCGAGTAGTAGGCAATCGCATGTTCACCCTAGAAGAATTTGCCACTATTCTTGCTAAAATAGAGGCAGTTTTAAACTCAAGACCCCTATGGATCCCCAAATCCAACCCACAAGACCTGCTACCACTAACCCCGGGACATTTCTTAACTGGAGCCCCCTAATGGCCCTTCCAGAAAACCCAAACGAAAGCTTGTCCATCCAAAATCGTTGGCAGAAGCAAAAGGTCATGTATCAAGAGTTTTGCAACCGATGGCGACATGAATATCTACATGAACTCCATCGTAGGTATAAATGGAAGCACCCTGCTGAAAACATTAACCTAGACGATATTGTTATCATCAGAGTGGACAACTGCCCTCCAACTGAGTGGAGACTCGGCAGAGTCATCAAGCTACACCCTGGTGGCGATCAAAACACTCGAGTGGTTGATCTACAAACAAGATCAGGCCCACTAACCCGACCAATTGTAAAACTAGTTCTTCTTCCCAAAAAAGAGACCCCTTCTCTACAAGATCAATAAGACTACTAAGCTCACGACCCGTTAGAACCCCCCCCACCAGTTCATCAACACCGGATAATGAAGCATCACTAATAAAAGTTTATCTCTCCAATAGATGGTGCACAAATGCCGAATGTGCCACAAAGGGCACCCACTTCGCTTCTGCGCGAAGTTGCTTAAACTGGATTCCTTAGAACGACGACAGGCGGCTCGACGAATGGGATACTACGCCAACTGCCTGGCATCCACACATAGGCTGCACGAATGCAAGTCAAAGGAAGTGTGCCATCGATGTGGAGATTTGCACCACACCCTCTTACACGCTGTCCACAACGGAGGACGTTCCATATCACCAAGCAACAAGCAGAAGTCTAAGGTTGTGGCTAAAAGCACCACACCCAAGCGGAAAGTCGAGGAAAGAAGAAGCCGTTCAACGACACGTCGTGCTTCCAGCGACTACCAAACGCGGCAATATAAGACACCATCTCGCCCTTTGCTGCATCTGCAAGAGGCAATCCGAAATCTCACCAAGCTGAAGGAAATTTTGGACTAAGCTCGGATCCTTGCCTGGCAAAAGGGGGCGGCATGTTAGCGAACGCTAACTTCAGAATCTCATTAGTAATATCATGTTCTCATTAAATAATTCTGCATTGTAAATTCCACGTTTCATTAGTAAAATCATGTTCACAAGAACTAATTCTGCATTGTAAATACCACATTTATCAGTAATAGAATGTTCACACTAACGAAATAATGTAAAACTGCGTATTGAGCCAAAAGGCCGACGTTTTTGTAAGATCGCTATACGGTAATACCAACCGGTGGCAGCGGCCGTTGCAAATAAAACCAGTGAATAGAGAAGTCTTGTGCGTCGTTTTTCTTAACTTTCGCCCAAACCACCCAGCAACACAGATTCGGACGGAATCTGCACAAAAGTAATTAATGACAAGGGCAATTGGCTTTTGACCCAACACTAGGTTAAAAACATATTGCGCTATTGAGTTAAACGCTTGCGGAAACTTTCTGCGTCAGAGGATGCAAAAATTTCAAGTCCGTTAAATAGAGTTGGTATTGTACAAGATTTAGCTACTAACATCCTGATGTTTTGAGGTATAAGATTCCGGGATAAAGAATGCTGCCTGAGCTTAGCATAGGTTTTCTCGTTGTAAATGTATTTTGAAATAGCTGTATAGCAAAAATGTTGGTGTATGGCGCGTTATTGTAAAAAGTCAGGTTCAAAAGTTATTCAAAAACAAAAATAGACACTTTTTCCAGCTCAGAACAACTAACGCTTCCTGAGCATTGTACGTGGGTATCCAAAGTGTATTTTAGTTCCATATAGGAATCTTTTGTTCTACGACTTAAAAAAACCCGCTACTTTACCGGGAAAAAAGCTAGAAATAGCTAAATTTCGTAAGTTCGTATTACGAACTTCGTATGTATTACACTACTAAATATACAGACATGTGCTATACCTCGTTTAAAAGGTATTTTGAAATACTTCAACGTCTTTTTAACTTAATTCGTTTAAATACAATAGTTTAAAAATTATGATTGACCAATTTAAATTTGAATGTATATATTAGCTCCTATGAGAGCAAAAGTAAACAAACAAAAACTTCTGATATCAAATAAAAACAACTCTTAGGGTTTTTCGAGTCCCTGTCAAAGCCCCTGATAGCTATCTGTTCGAAAAACTTAAATACCAGATAAACTGTTCGTAAAAGCAAATCCGCTTTCTCGACTGCTTTAATTTATCTGAACGAGAAACAATTACAGGGTGCTGTTAACGCACAGAATTGTGCTGTAAAGCGCAAAAAATGGCGTGCTTCGATTATTTCATCAGCTGTTTGGGTATATTTCGAGGGAAAAGTCAGCTGTGATTTCGTTTCTTCTTCTTAGTTGGCTTTGGGAAATCAGCTGTCATTCTATCGAGCCGAAAACGCTTAACAGGGACTCCGAGTCCCTATCAAAGTTAGCTCTCACATTTATGCTCCAGAAAGCCAAAATTCCTTAGCAGGGACTTTATCTGTTCGAGAAATGTTAGCCGGCACTCGAGAAACCGACCCTTAACGAGGTAAAAACTAGTTACGCACCTTCTGATTTCAACATTTGTGACGAAAAATTATTACACTCGTCATTAAATACATTTTCTAAAATTGTCTCATTAGAAAATTCCTGTGAAGGAAAGCTGGAATAGATTGCTAGGGCGGGCCGAATCAGTTTCATATATTTATACCCGTTACTCGTAGAGTAAAAGGGTATATTGTATTCGTGCAAAAGTATGTAACAGCTAGAATCAAGCGTTTCCGACCCCATAAAGTATATATTCTTAATCAGGGTCGCTAGCCAAGTCGATCTAGCCATGTCCGTCTGTCCGTCTGTTCGTCTGTCTGTCTGTATGAACGCTGAGATCTGGGAAACTACAAAAGCTAGAATGTTGAGATTTTCCACACATATTCTTGGGCTTCCTACGCAGCGCAAGTTTATTTCAGCCGGGCGCCAAGTTCACTCTAACGCCCACAATCGCCCACTAACGATTTTAAAATCTGTCTGGCGCCTACACCTTTAGAGATTTCCAAGAAGTATAAATGCAATTTTGTGGTATATATTTATACCTATTAAAATGTAGAAGACATTTTCAAATCGGACCATTCATTACCTAGTACCTAGGTAAAGGTATAAGGTAAATATATTGTTTTTTTTTTTTATTTTTGTATAATTTTTTTGTTTTGTTCAATGTAATCATTTAAACTTAAAATAAGACTAGTTTTCAGTTTTTAGTCGTCTTAATCAAACAATATCTTTTCATTTCATTTAAATTTAAATGTTTTAATTTTGTGCATATATTTGTATGTACGTATCACTTCATTAATGTATTTATGAAACCCTCATGTACATATTTGGCGCGCAAAAATTCCGTATGTAGAAACATTGACTATGTATATGTATATGCCGTTTGTTTACGTTCAGCTGTGAAAAAAATAATAGCACCACTAACCCAAAAAAACTTTAACTACTACTTTAACCTACGCAGCGCAAGTTTATTTCAGCCGGGCGCCAAGTTCACTCTAACGCCCACAATCGCCCACTAACGATTTTAAAATCTGTCTGGCGCCTACACCTTTAGAGATTTCCAAGAAGTATAAATGCAATTTTGTGGTATATATTTATACCTATTAAAATGTAGAAGACATTTTCAAATCGGACCATTCATTAAAAAGTTATACGCAATCAAAATATCTACATATATCTATCTCCCTCGCACTCCCTTTAGCTGAGTTACGATTATAGTCGAGACATCAACCCGAGTACAGCGTTCGCACTCCCTTTAGCTGAGTGACGGGTATTAGATAGTCGGGACACCAACCCGACTATAGCGTTCTCGCTTGTTTTATCTACAAGTAACAGGTATAATTATCATATTGTATGTCTGAAGGCAACGTATATCTTTTTCAGATTTTAACGACAATTGATTAAGAAATTAATTATGAACTCAACGCAGCGTGTCTCCCATATTTCGACAATTTATTTATTTGCTTTTAAAAAAGTACTGGTTAGGAATTCAAACTTGTACATTTTTTATACGCAGAAAACAATTCAAAAATGTATTAATAAATAGCGAACCATATATTTTTAAAATTCTCCGAAATTGATAGATATAAACGCGATAGGTCCGTATCCGATAGAATTGATTATGAATTTCATCAAATTTGTCTTTTATAATTTTTATAGCCGTTACTCGTGGAGTAATGTCATATAATGTATTCGGGAAAAAGTATGTACCAGGTAGGATTCCAGATTAAGATCACTTGTCGAGTCAATCTAGTCATGTCCATCTACCTGTCTTCCTGTCCATATGACTTGGCTGATCCGAGGACTTCCAAACACAGCTCTCGCAAAAACAACGTCAGCAGAAGCAAAGCAGGACAACAAAAAGCAAAGAGAGTGACTTAAAAAAAAAAGACAACAACCAGAGTGAAAAACATCTTAACTAAATTTCACAATTTGGATACCAAAAATCGGGTCGCCAATGGTTGCAATATTAAGTCAAAATATGAAGGTAACCCGTTAAATCTATGTTATTTTATTATACCCGTATACTCGCATAATAGGAATATTATATTCGTAGGAAAGTATGTATCAGGCAGAAGGAAGCGTTTCTGACCCTATAAAGTTCGACTCAGCTAGTAATTGTTAGCCGGCACTTATGAGACTACGCCTTAATAAGAAAGATAAAATGCGAGATATACTTACGGAAGAACAGTTTTAACTTCTGTTTGATCAGCATACGTTAAGCTTGAATAACCTAGCATATTTTCTCCAGAGTCAAACCAGCCAAGCTCAGAACGCAATTGGGCAAAGCAGTCCAAATGATGCCATAGAGGCTGGCCTCCATATTTCATACCAACTTCAGTATCATAAACAGTTTTACGTAACCGAACTTGATCCTTATTAATTTTTTGTTCACAGCCCCGACAAGTCGATCGGCTAGATTTTGCATACTCGATTCCAAAGTCTTTAAGTGCTAGGTTAAATGAATTAGAGCGCTTCTTCCCTGATTTTTCATGTATAACTCCCTTTATATTTTCTGTGTAAAAATATTAAATGTTAAACTATTATAAATTGACACATTGATACTTACCAATAAGATCAGACAACTCTTTTTGATCAGTAAATCGAAGGTTTTCAAAATTCTGAATGTCTCCCACAGATTCCGGACGCTGATTTTTGAAAAAGCAGGTTTTATGAAACCAATTTGGTACTTTTGCGTCGTGAAATGCAGACTGCAGATTAAAAAATAAAATATTAAAAACTAAGGTTATAGTCTAGAAGAGGGGCCTGTGCTCCAAAAATCACGAAAAAAATTACCCTCGATAGACCGCGATTTCTTAAGATTACCCACACATAAGCGCGGTTCTTTTACAAACTGAACACCTTTTATTGGGTCACATTTTTGATTTGCCTGAAACTTTTTTTACATGTACTATTCGGAAAATAAGTAAACACGTGTATCAGGACTTGACCGAAAAAAATTATTTTTTAGTTAGAATTTTTTTAAGTGTGCCAAAAATTGTCAAATTTGAAAAAGTACCCTCTCATTAAAAATCTGGATCTCCGGTTATATTAATCCGATTGACTTCATGTCTTTTGCATTAATTCCTCCAAAACCTCTTCTTTCAAAATAAAATTTCTAACAAAAAAAAAGTTTTTAATTTCTTAAAAATAAAAACAAATTAAGATTTAAACAACATTTTAACCATTGACCCCACAAAAAAAAATTTTTTTTTTATTTTAATACTTGCGCCATATTGTTAGTTACAATCGGTTTTGGTAAAAAGTTGGAGCCACTTTTTATACCCTTGTAGAGGGTATTATAATTTCAGTCAGATGTTTGCAACGCAGTAAGGGAGACGTTTCCGACCACATGAAGTATATATAAGTTAACTGTGGTCAACCCGATCAAGATCATTGACCGCAGTTACTTCGAAAATAAGCTCCGGCCGAAATTGCTGACCTAGCAATGGGCCGGAAGCTCGTGCACAGTGGCAGACACTGCATATTTGCGTGGCCGCTGTGAGCTTTTGTTAGCTTTAAGTTTAGTTTTTAAGAACAGTTCTGATTCTTCCCTCAATAAAGAAGGAGCACAAGCTCTAACATCAAACTCCGGCGAACAGCCGTTAATACTTATTTAATAATAACCTGTCTGAGTCTCTAGGCCAGCAGGTAAAGAAGGGCAGTTCCCTTCCAACGTATTTCTTCCTAATTCTTTAGCCTAGAAGACACGGCCAACTGGCCCGTACTTAGAGGAGTAACCCCCGAGCTGCACAGATACGGTGACCGCTGCGTGGGACCCCCCCTTCAAGAGTTATTGATCTTAAAGTAATAGTGACTGCCTCGTGGGACCCTCCTGGGGGACAGATAGCGACGAATCCCAGTGACGGCTGCGTGGGATTTACTGGATTAAATAATTTATATTCCTGATCAGCACCAATAGCCGAGTCTATCTAGCCATGTCCGTCTGCAGTGTTGGGAAAGGTACTGTGTTTTTTTTACCTAGGTAAGGTAAAAGGTATTGGGCAAAAATAAATACCTAGGTAAGGTAAAGGTACTTCAATTTCCCAGTACCTAGGTAAAGCTATAAGGTAAATATATTGTTTTTTTTTTTATTTTTGTATAATTTTTTTGTTTTGTTCAATGTAATCATTTAAACTTAAAATAAGACTAGTTTTCAGTTTTTAGTCGTCTTAATCAAACAATATCTTTTCATTTCATTTAAATTGAAATGTTTTAATTTTGTGCATATATTTGTATGTACGTATCACTTCATTAATGTATTTATGAAACCCTCATGTACATATTTGGCGCGCAAAAATTCCGTATGTAGAAACATTGACTATGTATATGTATATGCCGTTTGTTTACGTTCAGCTGTGAAAAAAATAATAGCACCACTAACCCAAAAAAACTTTAACTACTACTTTAACCTACTCACATTTTTTAACTTTTTTAACTTTTCAAAACGAGTTTGAAATAGTAAGGCTAATCATAATTTGAATATGAAAAAAAATGTTAGCTTTATAAAAGGTTTCTGGACTTATTTAAGAAAATCTATGCAAAACTGGAAAAACGTACGAAAAAAATAATAGCACCACTTCTTTAAAAATAGAATAAAAGGTAGAAAAATGACATATGGGTAACTTAATATTTAGTTGGCGGTAGCTAAGAAGTAAATCTAAGTTTAAAGTGTAAATATCTTTTGGGATTTTTGGATATAATGACTTACTATCGATTAAACAAGTCAGGACCCTACCTATAAAGGAATTGGGGCCCAAAAGTCATGATATATTTTCAAATTTATTCGGAAATGATTTAAGACGTTTTAGATTAACTGTTTAAACTGTCTTTAAAAAAAAATACGAAGATTTTTGGTTGTGTTATGGTCAAGCGATTACACAAGTCAATGTATATTGCTTACTGAGTACTTACGAACTCTTTCTTTGCTATCCTGACCGTGATCCTGGCCGGATTTTATTGGTCAAAGATTCATTTAAGAAGTATTTTGTATTCAGTTTAAGCTACGAATTACTACCGTATTACTATTTACATCATCATTCATGAACGATGTATTCATCCGTATTGATCTTACTTCAGGAAGGAAAAACAAGCCTATGTTAATACTAGGTCCATGCTCAATAAATGGATGTTTTGGTACCATGTTTTTGGTCAATTTAGGTGTTTAGAAGACACATGACTTATAAAAAGGATTTCTTCTTACCCAATTTAACTTTGCCTTCACACATTCTCATAAGTTTGCGGGCATTCATTTGTAACTTTTTTTGACGAGCCCTATGCCCTTGTAAATGTGTTTCGCATTTCGGATAGGATTTTTTTTTAAGTGCATGTTTTATAAATTTGTTTATTGAAACATTATCCAATTATTAACATATTCGCTATTATTTTAAGCACGTGTTTTAGTTTAGTTTTGGCCCTGATAAGATTCTTTGTGCTTTGTGATATAACATTTTGGAAGGAAAAATGGGCCAGGACTCGGTTTTTCTGTGTTATCCTTCAAAGTTTATGCCATTCTTAATGAAGATGATCCAAAACCTAACCAATCGAGCCGGTTTTCATGACCGTTTTTTTTTTCCGACTTGGAAAATTTTCCACATGTCGTTGTATTGCCAAATGGTAATCAATTTGATGTCTGGATATCAGGAGAAGTTAGTTTTAGTCAAATCTCATAAAATATATCCTTTATACACAAGAATATTAGCGCATCGTAACGTTTTATTTAAAGAAAACGGAAGTGGTGCTATTATTTTTCTCGGCCTTTTTTGACTTTTTTTCTTAAAATCTGAAAAAATTATATGTAGACAATATTTTTGATATCCGTATAAATTTTTTCAAATAGGTGGAATACTAATCAAGATAATAAAAAACACTTCTTATATAAAAATCCCCGTTTTCCACATATTTCTTTAATATTAAGAACCTGTGACGAAGTGGTGCTATTATTTTTTTCGCAACTGTACATACGGCATTTTTGCGCGCCAAATACACTTTGGTTTCATAAATAAATTGATGTAGTGATGGGAACATACATACGTGCAGAAAATGATATAAAATAAAACTGCGATTAGTTTTAACTTCACAAAACAAACAATAGAACGGCTGAATTCCAATGACTTTTAATGCTGCGTTCTGACTATTACAATTTCGAAACGAAACGATACAATGAAACGATACTACAGTGTCGCAGTCAGATTTGGCTATTTTAAATCAGAGCAATGTTTAATACCTATATAAGTACCTTCATAATTCCAAAGGTATATAAAAATCTGTAGCTAGGTAAGGTAAAAGGTACTCAATTATTTGTATACCTAGGTAAGGTAAAAGGTACCACTAAATTGTACCTAGGTACATACCTAGGTATAAGTATCTAGGTATGTCCCAACACTGTCCGTCTGTCCGTTTCTATGCGAACTAGTCTCTCAGCTTTAAAGCTATCGCGATGAAACTTTCCCGAAGGTCTTCTTTCTATTGCAGGTAGTACATATGTCGGAGCCGGATCGGACCACTATATCTTAAGGCTCCCATAGGAATATTCAAACAACTATAAGAAAATTAATTGTAACTTTGTAGGAAGTAGGCGTTTTGATTCTTGACTACTTAAAAACAAAATTTAAATAAATAGAAACGCTGAATCTGGAATCCCTGAAACTGCACCGAGTGAGCATTCTTTTATCTGCAAGGGTATATAAGCTTCGGCTGGCCGAAGTTAGCTTCCTTTCTTGTTGTTTTGTCGTATTTGTTTTAACAAAGCCTCGGCTTTTTTCGGTTATTTATGTATTTAACCATTGTCTGTTTGAAACTCGCCTTAGACCAAAATGGATAGAACTAAGTTCGCACTACCTTAGAACAGGGATTATAAGTAAGTAACACTAGTTTACCAAATAATTTTTTGGAGTGCTTAACAGCAATTTATGGCAAATTCTGTTAGTGTTAGAGCCCTAGATCTCGAAAATACCAGTAATTTTTTTTTCAATGGCACAGTTTTTTTTAAAGATTTTCTGAAGTTTAAAATGTTAAATTTCGGACTTTTTTCGAATTTTTTTTATTTCGGCTCAAGGCACAGTTTTCTTCTAAAGATTTCCTAAAGCTCAAAATCTTAAATTTCTGACTTCTCGAATTTCTTCCTATATCTCGGCACATATCCAGCCAATTAAACCAGTTTTCGTTTCAATTTAAAGGCAATAGATCAGAGCCTAACTTTGTCACACAGATCAATATAATTGGATAAGTAATTGCAGCGCAGCAGCTTGACAAAGATGAAAAATGTGTTTTTTGGTCCACTGTAGATAGGCTGTATGTATCGTAAAAACTCAAAATAAATCCGTTGAAATATCATAATGGGTACAAACTTAAAGTTTACATCCTATCAAATAAAACAAGACGAGTATGGCCCAAATCTATTAGAAAATTGGATTTATTGTGGAAAAAATAAAACAAAATATGAATTAATCTTAAAAAAAACTGTGCCATTGAAAAAAAAATTAGTGGTATTTTTCTGATTTAGGGCTCCAGCACTAACAGAATTTACATTCAATTGCTGTAAGGTACTCCAAGAATATTATATTTAAACTGTGAAAATAGCTTTAGTTTCTTGTGATCTTTTAGATTCGGTTCTTAAAGTAATGCGGTTGGGCTTAATAATGTACACCCTAGCTTCAGAAAAACATTCCTGCCAAATATCATTAACAAAAAAAAATAGAGAACGCTATAA